AAGATGTTGATGTTAACGTATTAGAAAGAGTTCATATTCCCCGGTGTGCAGCTATGCCACAACGATATTTAGTTGACCATCATATGCCAATAAAAAAGAATCATTATATTGTCTTGTGCCAACCAAATGATGATCTTGGTGAGAATTACTTTAAACCTAAACCACTTTTGCTGCCATATTATGAAGCTAAATCTACCCCCACGTCTTCGTCTAAGCCCTTCGCAACTCATGAAACAAAACGAGATGGCAAAGAAGTTGCTACTAAAAGAAAACAACTGAGTTTAGATGCGTTGCTCCCAAAGAAAACAATTAAGACATCCCACCAACAGGTAGCCTCATCAGTTAATATGCTACCTCCCACAAGCTCATCCAGTGAAAGTGAAGCTGTGAAAACACCTGCTGCAATCCCACCAGAAATAATACCCAAGGAAATAATGCCAATGATATATTTAATTACGTAAACAAGAGTTCTTCTTTAACAACCTCGCAAGCCAGGGTTTTTATCACGCTTGAGGTGAGGAAAAACCCTGGTTACCGCTGGTCATGTTACTCTTGAAAATCCCTAGAATCAGGGGGAAAATTAAAATAGTACTGAGGGAGGGGTGGCAGAGGAGCACACTGAAATTTATTGAAATGTTTCCTAACAAGTAACAATAATATATTGTGATTTTGGTTGTGAAATAAATCAATTAAAAACAACAAGAAAACATTGAAATTGATTACATCCTGTTTTGGAACAGATAAATATGATATTAAAGGTATTGAATTGCAGTTTTGAGCCTGGAATTAGACTCAAATTTCGAAAGTCTATTTATTCAATCGAGTCGATGGGCGAATGGCTTTATAGCAAGGACTCAGACGCCAAAGAAATTCTACAAAAAAAGAATCAACGGCCAATATTTCGCGTTATAGCCATATATAGGCTTTGTAATTCTATTGCTGACCTAAAACACAGCAAGAATCTCTATTGGAGGCAGTCCGAAACAATCCTTCGCAACGCAAAGATAATTTTTGTTGGTGAATTGCAGCAAGAAAGCGGTTTTCCTCAACAGATATGTGTGCCATGTGAAAGAAGGCTCAACAATGCCATACAATTCAGGATGATTGAGCAAAAATGTCAGTGCGAAACGTTACGTGGAACTCTAGCCATCTGTTGCGAAGCTGGTCGCAAAGTTCGTGCAGCTGGGACTTCGGGTCGTCGAAGAATCGACTTCACTTTGGAAGACGAAACACCGACCGTTTTGGCATCACTGAGACTCTGTTATCAAGAATAATGTCGAGGTATATAGCTTTCTGTTATCAAACGAATGGTAAAGTCATCCGATGCAGGCAAAAGCACTGTTACGTGCGGAACAATTTGAATATTTAAATTTAATACAAAAGCCAAAATATAGTATTGTATAATATGCGTATATACAATTATTTCATATTTATTTCATATTTTATACACCGGACACATTATAAATATTGTAGAAAGCTTTCATTGCCAGTAGTTTTGTGGTTTGATCTATCCAGCTACATTTTATTTTGTCATGCATGGAATAGCACACGCTGTTGTGAGACATCAATTGCCTTTTAATACATTATCCAACTATGCCGCACTGGAGACAAACAACCTATCAATATTACAATATATTAATAGAAACTTTAATACAGTAAAATGCTTATAAAAGCTCATAAATTATAAAAGTAATGTCATGTCTGTGTGAGACTGTGTGCGTATACATAATTTATGAATTATGACATGTACTGTATATATCCCTGACAAAAAATATGTAGAGAAACGTTATACTGTGCACCATGCATAATAAAAAATGCTTTGCTGAACCTTATCTGTTATTATTCACATGGCAAGGTATAAAAGGTGGGGTAAATAATATTTTGCTTTCAAATGTTCAACAACATACTCATGCAGACAAAAAAGGAAAAGCATACAGTCGTCTTATAATTCTGTACTGTACTGTAGATTCTCTAACAATTTTTGTACTTTACACTCACTCCTTCCTACAATACCCAGTGCATGTTTAATATAAACGATCAATATTTTTAAATAAAATCAGTAGCATATAAACAGTCTATAAAACGTTTTAGAATGAATAAAATGGACAATCAATGTCCATTTGAGACTTTTGGCTTGTGTCCAAATGCCCTTTGCCTTTAATTTGGCTTGCCGAAAAACCTCAAAGGCGCTACGCCCTATAAAGGTCTATAAACATGCAGTCGCTCTCGAGACCTTTGTTGAAATTAACAAGTGAACCAATGCAAAGTTTATACCGTTTCCAGACAACAATTATTTAGTATAAACATATTCTAAGATTATAAATAATGTGAACCAAAGGCAGAGCAGAAACGTGTGAAATGAAAGTGCCTTTTATATACAAGTGTGCCGCAGAGAGAATATATAACAATAGAGCATATGTCATCTGATCATACATTTTTATTGCTTGATCGATGTTGGTATAAAAATCTGTTTAGCCTTTTTTTATAATTCAAGAGCAATCAGAAATCGTATTTAGCAAGGATTTTGACGAATATGTGATTCTCAAAGTTGATTGGTACAGAACACTCGTTCCTTGCGATCGAAGTGTAAAGTATGGAAGTGGAAGCATGTAATATGATGCTTTTCCCTCCCCCCTTAGGCAATCAATTTTATTGGAGTCATGTGACCAGCGGTAACCAGGGTTTTTCCCAAAAACCCTGGCTTACGAGGTTGCTTCTTTAACCGATGGTGAAAAGTATGAGATCCTTACTAACACTTGGAAACCTGAATCCACTTACAGTTTTCCTCCCAAAAACTCATCAGGGAGATGTTTCCCATGGTTGGCTTATTCTGCTGCTGCCAATGGTGGCTTTTGTATCAACTGTGTTCTATTTGGCGGTGAAAGCACGCACAATGCTTCTAAACTGCAATGATTGATGCCTTTACCTTTTATCCTTTCTACATCTTCTATAAACAAGTTGACACAGCACGCCCATAAATCGAAAGTTCATGAAACAGTAACCATCCGAGCATTGGCATTTAAATGCATAATGGAAACCAAAACAAAACCAATCAACATCCAAGTTAATAATGCTCATCAAGAGATTATCTAAAGGAATAGAGTTCGACTTGGCACAATCGTTGATACCATCATAACCTGTGGTAGACAGAATATCACACTCCGAGGTCACTGAGATGATTCCCAGTATTATATAGATGAAGACGTAACAAACCCAGGAAATTTTATCGAGGTCCTAAAGTATGGTGCAAGGTGTGGAGACTTGATGCATGAACTGTTCAAAGATTATCCTTCAAACCAAACTTATCATTCCAAAACCATACAGAATGAAATACTGGAAATATGTGGTGAAATGATAACCGAAATACTTGTTGGCGAAGTTAAACAAGCAAAGTTTTTCTCTGTATTAGCTGACGAAGCAACTGATAATAGGTCACAGCGGGTAGTCTTCCTTGTGGTGTTTCACAGAGCCGCGAATTGCTGGTGGTAAGCCGTCAGTCGAGTACAGGTGAGGTATTTGAAGGTGTTGTAAAGAGCTGAACCAATGGCATTGATAATAGGTTGCAGCGGGTAGCCTTCCTTGTGGTGTTTCACAGAGCTGCAAATTGTTGGTGGTAACCCATTGTCAGTTGCTAATGGGCATCAAGAGACCTTGAAATAGTGGTGGTTCCTGGGAATGACGATCCTTGAAAATTTTTTGATTGCTAAAGAGGATTTTCAATTTTCTTTGGCAGAAAGTTTTGAAATTTAAAAAAAAAATTATCCATAAAAATCAACAAAAACGCTGATATAAGTGATATCACCTGATGTACAAATCAGAAATCACTGTTTCACTTGAGCATATATAAAAATATTCCGTGAAATTTAAATTTCTTATATATAAAAATATTCCTTGAAATTTAAATTTCTTTGATAATGGGAAAGTAATTGATATTGAATAGAATAAAATAATCTATTGTTGTTGTTGTTTGGCAATTATCAGACACGTAAGACATTAGAATCTTGGTATACTGCTATAACAAATTCTGACAATAACTCTAAGCCGCTTCCAAAACAATATGCCATGCTAGTTAATAAAAAATGTCATCGCTAGATGCTACAATTACCATACCTATCACTTCCTGTTATATATATATATATATAATCACTTAACACATGCACACTTGTAATTTAATTCATTCCGCTTTACCTGTCGAAGACTACAGTTAGGTAGTCGAAAGCTTGTTTCAAATAAAATTTCAGTCAGAGAACATTTATTTTGAATATGTCTAAATCTGAAAATGGATTGCCCACTTGCACCTCTTGCACTTGATCGACCAATGTTGTAAGAATTAGGTCTAGAGTGTTCTGCTCTCTTGTGGGTTGATTTGCCAAAGAAGTTATCATCAACAATTTCAATAAGAAAATTATGCAGCGGAGAGTCTCTTTCAGGACTTGTAAGTCAATTTCGCTTATATAGTAAAAATCACCAAGCAGTAAAAGGTCCGGTGTCGAGATATTACTCAAGGTCCTCTGCAGTTCTTCCAGAGCATGCAACTTATTAGGGGGTCTATAAAAAACACCAACTTTTATTTTTTTATTACAACTTAATATTATATCCAAACAGCAATTCTGAATTGCAGACAATATTGATCAGTATGTTTCTAACCATGCCATTATGTTGTCAATCATGTCGAAATATTACGAAATTAGCCAGTAAAATTTCTGAGTTAGCTATGCTATCATGGAGATGGGTTTCCATTAATACACTAAAACTGTCTGTACCAATGTGAAAATGCTGTGTTGAGTGGTTATATTACTACCTTAAAAAACAAGCAGAAACTCAACATTTCGAGCGAAGGCCCTTCGTCAAGAGTTAGTAGCGGCCTTCGCTCGAAATGTTGAGTTTCTGCTTGTTTTTTAAGGTAGTAATATAACCACTCAGCACAGCATTTCCTCTTAATACAACAATGTCAAACTGATCATTTTCCATACATAGCCTGTTGGTTTTGTTGACTATACTTCGGGCATTAGCGTACAAGATAGGAATCTTTTTCGCTCTGCCTATGCCGCTTGATTGTTGATCTGTTTCGTTATTTATGGTGTAATTCAGGCCCAGGTTTATGGCAAGATCACCCGCTAGCAGCAGACTAGCAACATGCAGTGAACTAATTGGATTGTTAAATGTAAGACTACATCCACACTTAACTCCTGGGCCAAGACATTGTTTTAATAACCTATCTTGACCATAACACCAGTAAAATCCATTTCCATCGGGATTTATGTTTGATAGAGAACTCTTGGTTTTGAAGTAGAGTGGTATATGATCGCTATAAAATCCATTACTATTTGGTTTGATGGGATTGTTGTACAATAAGTTTATCAAATTTGTACAACAACACAAGACATGTCCTATCGCCATCTTGACAGTATTGGTTGTGTGGGCCCACCACCAGCCCACCCCTGGTCATAAATAATGAATGGTCCCTAACTATAAAGCCACAGAGACCAGTTGCCAAGTGTTAGCTGCATGCTAGCGTATCTCTGAGTCCATTTGCCGAGTGGTTCACAGTACCATTAGCCAGCAAGCATGAACCTCAAGTTCATGAACTCGTACCGGTAGTTAATTTGGTTTGGTATTTTATGTCTTATAAAACATGACAATGAGTGTTTTGAATAGCTTAAAATACAACTACAAAAGAATACTAATTACGATGAACAATATAATCATACCAATTAGGACGAACAATTATATAAAAATACTAATGAAGATGAGTTTTATCAGATGACATATTATGGTTGACATGGTTCACACAAGGTTTATGAATTATTAATGAGTATTTTAAGGATATTTTTAGACCAACATCAACAGACCTTGAAACAGTGGTGGTTCCTGGGAACGACGTTCCTTGAAAATATTTTGATTGCTGAAGAGAATTTTCAATTTTCATTGGCAGAGAGTTTAAACTTTTTAAAAAAAATTATCCATAAAAAATCAACAAAAAGGTTAAAAATTTCCCAGTCTAAAGAAATTTTCTTGGAACTGAAATATAAGTGATATCACCTGATGTACAAATCAGTCTCTCACTTGAGCACAGTGTTGTAACGAGTCACCTACAGGTCGAGCCACAAGTAGAGTTCAGTTTCTGCTAGAGTCAGTGGCTTCACTCGAGTCGAGTCAGCAGTTTCACTTGAGTCAAGTCGAGTCATTGGTTTAAGTCGAGTCGAGTCACTAGCTAGATTAAACTTGATTCAGGGAATTTGACCAAGTCCACCCACATCCTTGTCCCCAGGGCCTCTTGGCTGCACACGTCCTCCCTAGGCCCTGGAACATATGGAACCTGAAGTGCAAGTAAACTTGCAGTAGTTTCTAAAGCGCATGGTCTTGAATTGGGGCACTCTAGCACCCGTAACAATTTGAAAGTGAAGTATTACAAAGAAACGAAGTATTTGTGTTGACATATGTTGAGAGAATAATTTTTCCCAGCGAAAACCGCTCAACTTTTCAAAATAGGATTTCTCTGAGAAGCCAATCAGATCTCTAGCTTTAATCGTCTAACCTACAGCTTAATTTTCAATGAATGACCGAGTGAAAATGGCTCTGCGGACGAGAATGGTCCACCCCACGCTTTTTGTAATGGTTCGCTTCCTTATCTTGCAGTTTGAAATTAGTAATCAAATCTACGTTTTAAGCTAATCACTTTAGTCATGTAATAACAGTATCTGGGCAGCCATAGGCTGTACCAATATGACAGTTCTAGTCAATATTAAGTACAATCACATGAGATGTCTCATCATGCCTGCTGATCGAGTGTACGTATATACAACTAGCATAACTTGCAACTGCAGTCAGAATTAACAAAGAATAGACTTTAATTAACTCTTTCTCTGCAGGCCCCTGTAATCGTAGAATGTGCACATTCTATGACACTTTGCCGATTCATATGTCCGGTTTGGGGGATATGGTCAGGCATGTTAATGCCTGGGTCTGCCCACGCTTGGATGATATCTTGCGCGCGCGATCTGTCAGTAATGCGTCTGTTAGAATATGCGCCCCCTTGTGTGAGTATTTTAGTGAATTCGGGTGTTTGCTTCAAATCAAAATATAGTATTTATGAACGACAGGATTATTTTGGAATATACAATGCAAAGAAGTTGGTATACTATTCAGTTTTGATGTAAGAACTGGCTCTTTGTATAGCAATAAGTATTGTATCATTTGCGACAGCTGACCTTTGAACTGCTGATAAATAAAAGCTTCTTATAGTGCGCTATCTTGCAATTATTCAGTATTAATTGTTGACTGTTTCTTATTTTCAATGAAAAATTGCTTGTGAATTACAAATTAATAGCACATATAGTTCACTCGGTCTTTTCCACCATGGCATACTTCCCTTCAAGCCCTAACTATGCTTCAAGATATCGGCTTGAATGTGCAATGAATGTTGTTATTGGCAATATAATATCCCTTACAATAAGCGGCAGACTGTTTCATTATGGCGCATGAAATTCATCACGCAAAAAACGCGTTCGACTTGCAGCAGGGTAATTTGACGAAATTTTGCTATTTTTGTTAGCTAAAAAAATTAACAAGGGAACAAAGTTTCCTGCGTTAATTTGGAAACCGTACATTTATTTGTAGATAACTTTTAATGACGTGATTAACATTCGTTTGATGCCGATCATCGTAATATAGCCACATAAAATGAAACGAAGCCTAAATGTAAACTTTCCGGATTTATTCAATAAACAGTGATATTATGTGTGAATGATTATCGCAATTCTGCATCCTCTCAGTCACGAAATATACTGCTGCAGAGCCTCTGAATAAAACGTATCATTTTTTGTGTTGTTTTTCGAAATATACATCACGTGATCGTTGCCATGACAACGAAAAGTAGGTAAACTTTTAGAATCTCCTTTGATAAATCATATAAAACTTGAATGGTAATAATCAAGGTCATACTTATTTTTTTATGATTTTTTGTCTATTTTCGCTAAATATACAAACTGAGACCCAGGCATTAATGTACCCGAGTGCTATGTAGATGAAAATACCACTATTCGATTCAGTGAAACAATATCTCCTAATACCTATCGATAGTTTTAGTCAAATACAGTTTTAATGAAATTGTATAACAATTTATGACCTTTTGACAGGTCAAGCGGTGTCATATTTCATAAAATTAATCAATTGTCTCAAACAATGTAAACTATCCATACCTTTCGCTGACCGTAACTTCGGCCCCTATTGAGATATCGTTTTCGCTGTAGTCGTATTCGAAACAGAATCAAAAAGACTGTTGAATGTGTTATTTTCAAGCTTGTAGCCTTATAGCCCAAGCTTGTAGTGGGATATTTTTAACTGGAAATACACTTTAGATCTGCCAAAACCTTGCGTGTTTACATCCTAGTGCTCAAAAAACATCGGAAATCGATTCTAAAGGTCAAATTAATCTGTAACGTGATTTTCAGGTGCATTGGGCTACGGGATACTCCTTATTGGCCAATTTTACGTGCAGCACAACGCATGCGAGTAAAAACCCGATGAAACCAGATATTTTGAAAAAATCAAAATAAACATTTCTACTCGCCATATTTAAACGAAACTTTCTACATAAAAGCGCTTGAATACAAGGAATATTTCACTAATATTAACTTGTGGCGAATTCTGAAGAGTTTAGAAAATACTCAACTTTTTCTCCATATGAAAATACAGAATGTTTGGCCAAGTGGTGAGTAAAAATATGGTTGTTTTGGTTTGTGTATTTGTTTTGATGGCATTAGACCCCCGATGAAAAGCTTATTTTTTCAGGATTTCAATGGTGTTCTTTGTTTTTAAGGGGGGTGAATACGTGCTGAAATATTTACATTATAAAACAGTTGAATCAAAATGTTGCTTGCCATGAAAAATGTCGCATGTCAAGAAAGAGTTAACCAAGCTTTGTAAGTGAATTTGAAATTATATAAATAGCACTTCATAAATACCAAAAATGAAGATAGCCAGTCAGAATTAGCATAGGTACAAAAAATTTTAATAAATTTACGTGGTGTTTCCACAAACAAAACTATTATATATTTAATTATTTATCTTCTGTAATCAGTGGCAAATACTGCAATTTCATTGGTTTACAGGAGTGCGATTTGAGCATTAATCACACTTTTTCTGAGCTGTAATCGCACTCTTGTCAATGACAATCAGTCTAGTATTTACAACTAGCCAGTCAGCATTCAGGATACAAACTTTGAATTTTATTTTCTTTATTGCTGTAAAAAATTTCAAAATGGAGGAATTCACAAATTTTGAAAATTTTGACCTTTTAATTTTTAAATCAGCCCTCGAAAACCGTCAAAATTGAGGTCGGAAAACAAAAAGCTGACCTAAATCTGACCTAGCTTGGCACATCTCAGCATTTTTTAAAATCTGTTTCCATGTTTTGGAGCACTAGTAGCCTGCACTAGTAATCACGTATTTCCGAATCATTGAAAAGTATAAATGTCACGAAGGCTTTTCTTTTAGAGTCTTACCTAAATTATATCATAATACCCGTTAATTCTTAAACCTTACACCAAAGTGTATTGAATTCTATAATCGCTGACTTTTTAACAGCTATTAGCACCAAAAAAGTTTCTTACTTTGGCTGAATTAAGGTTGGCAAACCTGGGAGGTTGATAGGTCGGCATTTTAATAGGTTGCCAAAGGTCGGCATATTTGCCGAATGTCGATCCCGTTTTCGAGGGTTGTTAAATTATATATTTTCTGACGAAAATGACCTACCTGTTCTTCCAACAGAAGACACCGAACTAGACACAACCAGGAGTTACATTTCAATCAAATTCAGATGATTAACTGAACTAAAGAACTTCGCTATTTTGAACACGTTATAAACATACAAACATGGCTTCCCAATTGTGTGTTGAATAATTCAAACAAATGTTGTCATGTGATTATACCGGAAATAATGCCCGGAAGTTAATAATATGTTAATTTGATTATATATGATAAATAATAATTCAAAATTGTACTATATCACTAAGAATTGTCGTGATAAAAATTTAATAATTATATTGAATTTCAACAAATTGTATTTTTGTGCTTTTCCCCTTAAAGTCCTTAAACAGTTTGGTTACAGAAGATAAATAATTAATAAGTAATAGAACGAATTAAGTCGTACTATTAATGCCATAATCATACTCGTGATTAACAAATCAACCTCCCGCTACGCTATTAATTAATAAGTAATAGAACGAATTAAGTCGTACTATTAATGCCATAATCATACTCGTGATTAACAAATCAACCTCCCGCTACGCGGTCGGTTGATTTTGTAATCACTCATATGATTATGGCATTAATAGCACTCCTATTTGTTCTATTACCATCATTAATCGCCATGCAATCATACAAAGAACTTATCACAA